ATATTAATCTACTGAACATATAAACTCAAAAAATAACATATGTATATTGTATTACATTAATGGTTACCGGATCTCATTTTGTAACAAATTGGCGAATATGCTCCAACCAGGACAACATTTTCCTTGAATCACCTTCTGCATATTTCTATTGTTAATATATGGGGATATCTCACCTATCCTGTGCGTACAAACACAACAACAGTTGTCATCAGAGTGCGTGATTGTCATGGAAATATTTACCATAATGATAACCTTGCCAATTATTAGAGTTTCCTGCAAATGTGACAATTCAGCTGTATGATGTGAACTAAATTTTGTTCCATAGTTTTTGTCTTCAAACTATCCTATTAAAAAAGAAGTGTACAGGTATTTTTAATACATCAAATATATTATTAAAACCTATTTTGTCCCATGAATGTTATATAAAAGCAAGTCTAATGGTATCTTTAAATATAAAGATTTCCCTGTTCTATGCTGGCTTGATTTTCATCATGTAGGAAACCCTGGTTAAAATAATCATGAAATGTTAGTTTCATGCATTGAAATGTCACATATTAGCTACTTAAACATCGGTGTCATCTTCAATGTGATGGTATACTTGTTCTGGGACCTGTCACCCTTTAGAGCACTTAACATTAGAACAAACACTTTCTAGCACCCATCCATTTTCCTATGGATCCTAGTTGTATAATTCAAAGTTACTGCATTTTCTCACATTGATGCTACCAACTTTGTATGCTTCCATTTTTCCAAGATGGCAGGTATACACGTAGGTAGGTTACTTGGACCTGTTCTATTGTTTTAATACAGAGGTTGAAATCGGTTCTTTGTTGCAAAATGCTGATGAAAAAGCACATGTCTTGCCTATTCACCGATGCCAATGCTAGTTTGGGTTTCCTATACATGCTACAGGACAAAGGCTTCCAAGTATGTAAACAAATCTGTAGATATATGGGGCGATTATTCCAACTTGTCGAATGTTTTCTTGAGTCTTTTACATCTAAGCCGGAGTTTGCGCAAGAAACTGATTGTATAGCCACACCCTGTGAAGATGCACAGTCCTGATATGGCACTGCACAACTCTGGCTCCATGTTTTCAGCCAGCTTATATACATCTACATATCATTTGGTGTTATTGGCTGTTAAATCAACCTCCAGCCATAGGTGAGCCAGCAAGCCGTGGTTATGCGTGTGAAAAATCACGAGAACAGCAATGTCATAGGATCTAACATTAACCTTACTGTCTTTGTGAGACTTATACAAGTGGCTACCACCTCATGAGTGCAGGCTAAGCTGAGGGACTTCTTACACCTGGAAATCGTCATCCTTAACCTCATGCGGGTAAGTCTTGTACCCCAGTCCTAGGAACAGTGTGTGCCCTTGGATCTGATCAACGTGTGCCACTACTTTACAAGGAATTGTATAGAACAGGACTCTCTTGAATTTAGCCGAGTTGAGTGCAGGATTGAAATCTTTCGGACACTTCTAGTCAGGACCTGAGGTAATAAGTTCAGTATGTAGACAATCGGATCCACGTATATTATATGCACTATATTTTTGATGGGTGGAGTTTTGTGTCAACCACATACAAAGTCTAACCTTTTAACCAATTCAAACAACCTTGTGAGAAGAACTTTTACAATCTTCTCAAATGTGGCGGTTATATTTACTAGAGTTTCTTTGATAAAAATTTGGTCAATAACTTGCACCTCCACTAACTGGTTTGACATTTGTCACTCTTTCTTCTAGTTTGTGCATCAGTTTTGATTTGTTAGTTCTGTTGATTGAGTCATCCACAAATGCAACAGTTAAGGGCCTTGATGTAAGGAGGTAGCTGAAGACGAAAGCCAGATCTAAATTATTACTTACTGGAAGGTAGAGCACCGTTCCAAAGAGATCTCGTGTCTCCTGCAATTCATTTATTTCCCTGTCTTTGAGCGTGATTTTGACTTTGATGGCATCTGATGATAAATGTTTTACTTCGCGTCGAGGAACGCGTTTCTTAAAACTTGCAGGATTTGCAATTTTTTTTAATTTGTCATACCATTTTATATATGTCCTGCCGAATTATTTATGTCATAAAACATGTTAATTGTAGAGATTCTTTTACACTCCTATTAATTCGTGTATTGCGGCTCAAAATCAGATGTGTATAGAAATAATACTTCACATATATCTTTTGTCTCCCACAAGTAACTGCCCCATAAGCTTTTCGTTCAATGCCAGAATTCATCAGTTGGGCTGGAGAATTAGATACAAAATATTCTATGCAACACTATATTGTATATGTAGTATAATATTTTTAAAGTTATGATTTGAACGCCAAAACCCGGCAAAATATTGAAAAGCCAGTAGTAGTTTTCTCATATTTCGCAAGCTTTCTGTGTTTAAACTATAACTTTCGAATTATTACAGAACCATTAGTAATCACAGTTATTAATATACTGTTTTCTCAAACATGAATTAGGGTTAATATTATGAAAAAATTTCCATAACAATGTACAGTGATGATGACGTATGCTATACCTGAATATACAGATGATATAGTGAACTTATTAGCCTGATAAGAGTGACCTGATGTGGAAAATAAAAATATGCGGAAGGTGATTCACTAAAAAAATTACACAAGTTGAAGGAAATTCCTCCATTTTATGTATACACCGAACTCCTATAACCAGTATGTCATTTATATCTGTATGTATTCAGTAAGTCAATACCCTTATTTTTGTTACCCTACATTTAGGGGTAGCTGCAATGTTTAATGAACGTATAAATTAAAATGCGTTTATACAATTTGCGAAAAGTATGGTATGGAAAAATAAAAACAGTATTTTTGACTTCTAAAAGTTGAACTTGTGTCAACATAATTTCGAACCAGAAAACACCCTCTGGCTTCAGACATGTAATTGACAGTAGCCTCGCTCCTAGAGTAAATGAGCTAAGTATTTAATATATATTAGTGTTATGCAAACATTTTGTTGTGCAATGAAACATTTTTGTTGTGTTTTCAGAAAAAGTATACCTTATATTTTTATAAGCTTTCAAAAATCACCGAAAAAAGTATTTTAATCAAATAACTAAGTAATATCTAAATTATCTTAACGCATCTCTTGATATGCATAACTATCGCCATTACATATACGCACTACTTAAAACGATCAACTATCTACATGTTACTAGTATCATGATTTAAAACACATTTTCTGAAACTAGCTCATTTTAAATTACTGGCTTCAGTTTTAACATGATGCTGATAAATTAAATACTTAAGATATTTTAAAAGTGTTTTTTGATGTGTCACAATTAAAATGTTCTAAATTAACACCAAAACAACAACAACAACAGTGTTATCCATTATTCAACAGAGTAACACTTGATTTATCTAGTTCAATAATACAGTTTCGATAGATTTGAAGACGAGTGAAGTATTGAGTCCAGATGGAGTATGCGACCTCCCAAAGGTTTCTGGTCCATGTCATGAGTATCATTTACGACACTATTACAACCCGGACAACAAAAGGTGTGAGGAATTTATCTACGGAGGTTGTGAAGGGAACAAAAATAATTTCAAATCCCTAGCTGAATGCGAAGAGAAATGTGGAAGAAAACATGGAGAGGACCGTGTTCCACCAACTCGAAAAGATAATGGTACTTATTTATTTTCGATTGTGAAAACGTTTTGTATTTCAGTATAAATAAACATATAAAGAAAATGCCCCCCAGTGGCACAGCGGTATATCTGTGGACTTACAACGCTAGAAACCTTAGTGTAGCTTTGTGCTTAACTTCATAACAAACAAACATTTTTGTGCGCCAGCAATACCAAGCGTGGGGTGCGCGTATACCCGATTCGATTTTATTACTCATCAGGATCTCTACTAGCCTACTCTGAGATTGAAATTAATTTAGGCAGGATTAGAGTAAATTAATCTATGAGACCTTGGACGTGGTCAAATACTCCAATCGAAAGGGTTTGACCTCCTGAGTTCAAAAATGTAATTAGATCTCAAAT